AGAACCCCCCCCCCCCCCAGCCTCACCCCCCCAACGATACACACCACACCCATTACATAACAATCTCCTTTAGGATGGTGAAGAAGAAGACAAACTGACGAGCAGGAACATCGTGACTGAGCAAAAGAATAGGAAGAAATCATTTTCCTAGCATGTTCGATTTTGACATGCTCCCTCTCCATCTTTGATATTACTTTTCTTAAATTAATAAAAGTGAAAATATATGCATATAATAAGAATAAATATTGAAGAAATCAGATTTATCTCACATCTCACATATTGTGACTCGAGTACTTTGTAATTTTGAGCTTTAGCTTAAGTGGTATTGTCATCTTGCTATTTTGCAGGTAAGACCAGAGCTAGAGATGCGGCTTTAAATGCTATTCAATCTCCTTTATTAGATATTGGCATAGAGAGGGCTACTGGAATTGTGTGGAATATAACTGGCGGTACTGATTTAACATTGTTTGAGGTAGTTTCTCTACTCTCTCTTACCCCTCATGTTCTCTCTCTATAGTTATTTAAGATTTGCAGCCAAAATGCGGACTGGAAGTTTCACAAGTTTACCGTGAGTATCTATATTGTGATGGCTGTTTTTACAAGGAGTCAACATACGCCCTCAACTTTCGTATTAGTTGAAACAGTTGAACATCTGTAGTTTGACTTATGTCTATTTTTCCATTTTACCAATGTTCGCATTATTTGGAGTGGAGATTTGATTAAAGGGCTATTGTCATGATTATAATATTGTGTGCATAGTCATGTCAAGTTCTGCAAATCAGGAAGTCAAGTAAAAGCATCTTATAAAGGCTTTCTTTGCAATATAGAAAAGGAAGATTGTATGTCATTATCTGCACGATACATGTGTCTCCTGTAGATTATGTTAATTTATGTTTTAAACTGATTGTGCTTTGCATAATTTGATAAATTCATGATATAAAATTTGTCATATTCTTCTTTTCATAATTTTTCTCTTTGGTGATACCATTTTTTACGAGCATTGCTAGGTAAATGCTGCAGCAGAGGTCATATACGATCTCGTGGATCCAAGCGCCAACTTAATATTCGGTGCTGTGATAGATCAATCACTGAGGGGGCAAGTAAGTACTGTCTTATTCCTACTGTATATCACTTGTTTATTCATTATTGATTATGAGTATCCAGTAGCACAAGATTTGGGATTTTAAATTTAGGTAGCAACAGATGCCACAATGTGTGGCAATAGAGATACTTAAGAACGGTTCTCCTCTTACGTGGGCAGGGGCTAGAGGCCGCACCTGATGTGTGTACCTCATGTTAGGTTTTTCAGGACTAATGATTATTATTCACACACTACTTTTTGGCTAAATTGGTAGTATATCTTACATTTTTGGGAGGTATTTGATAATCTTAGCATATGCCTCTTTCTAGTCTTCAGCTTTAAGACGAGTTGAATGCTCAAATTAATTGAATTTGATCGACTTTCTTAAATATAATCAGGTAAGTATAACATTGATCGCCACTGGTTTCAAGCGCCAAGAGGAAAGCAATGAAAGGCCCCTCCAGGTATCTTATCATCCTCTCCTACTCCTAGCTATGTGCACATGCAAACACAATGTGTAGAATTACTTTTCACTTAAATGTTCACTTAACGCTCGCTCGTTCGTGTTCAAACTCCAGGCAAATCAACTGGCACAAGGAGATTCGAACTTTGGTGTCAATAGGCGAGCGGCATCCTTCTTAGAAGGTGGTTCTGTGGAGATCCCTGAGTTCTTGAGGAAGAAAGGACGCTCTCGCTATCCAAGAGCTTGAAACCAAGCTTTAATTTTTCAACTGTTCTATAGTTTCTTTCGTTACAGTATTCTTCTGTCTTGATCTCACGGTTTTAGGTCGCTATGTCATGCCTATATAGAATTTTGGCTTTGAATGAAATGCAATTTTAACAGCGAGAAAGAACTGAGCAGACTTTTCTTTAATAAAGCATGATGGATATGTGGATGTTCATTCAAACACTTCTTTTTATTGCTATTTATTGACTTGAAACCAAATCTCGAAACAAGACATATATTAGTATAACATTGCCGTCAAATGAGAGCCGTCATTGTTAGAGAATCGAGATCAGACGGATTTGAAGCATAGTTCTGAAAAAGCAATAAAAGCAATCGAATGAAACAGAACCAACAGTACAGAATCAGGATCGGGATCCAAGTATAAAAAGTGAAGAGGCCGAGAGTGGAAGGGCAGGTCAGTATGGCGGTTTTAGGCCGCTATGTCATGTCTATGAGGAAGAGCAAATTCCATCAGAGTACAGAAAAGTTGTTGAATGAGCGAAGGTATCGTGGAAAGAGGTTCTATGACTGAGTTGTTGAATGAGTTCTTGGTGAAAACATAAAAGTGAGATAAAAAAAATATAGTCATCACTAAGAAAAATAAGGAAACATCAATGATTTGGCTTTATTCAAATTCCGAGCGTCATAAATGAAATAAACATTATTATTACATGACTCGTATGCTCAGACAATTTCCTCAAAACTCAAACAGTCTATACAAAGTAAAAGAAACATCTACAGTTATATGTCCTGCAAAATATAAATAAAATGAGACATCAACTTCCACAATTAATAGCATCCAGATTTCACCTGATGCAGAAGTAGGGAGATAACCACGAGTACTTTCCATCTACTTCTACTAAAGTCACTTGCTCTTGTAAAGTATACAACAAATCAGCGTGAAAAATGAATTCTTTTCGTTAGGGCTGAGCAGGCGTACACGCCAATAGCTGAATAATGTTCTCTCCAGAAGATAAAGATAATGCAAAATTACTGCTTGACCATAAAGGAGCTTTTACAGCTGCAGCCACCCACAGCACTTGGATTTGCAGACACCTGCATATACACAACTTCACTTACTGCTGCTAAGTACAAAATGATATAGGCAACTGAACAGTGGTTGCAATAAACAAAAACATTTCTCAAAATTCAACAGCTCAAAGCATGTCTGTTAAGATTAAAATAACCAACTTTCGTTTCCAAACATCTTTGGACTACTTACTTTTTCTTACTAAAGAAAGTTACTTATTTTGAAATCAACTCTTAAACCGTCAAAATAACTTACTTGTTTAATATGTTTTCTGCAGTAACTACCATCATGATTTATGATATGGGATAATTTGCGAGAGTGACCTCCATAGAACACCTAGACAAGCACGTTGACCAGTTTTTAAGCCATCTACTTCTAGCCACATAGACACTAATACCTCAACATGAAGACTAATACTCGTAAATTTCTTAATGTGCCCTTATTACACTAGCTACTGAATGTGTCAAGAAAAGGAAACAGGTTGAGGGCATAGCTCCAAACAAGTAGATTTAAATAGACAATAGTTCCAGTATTTCCTCATCAATTCTTGATTTCTTGAAAATATTATATTGTCAAACTCCTCAGAGGAACAATGCATAATATCCAATCCCAATCATACACTAACAAGTTGACATTCAGTTGGAAAATATTCTTCTAAATGTAGTTAAGAAAAGAAAAAAACACTTTGCTCTCACACCATCACCATTGAACCTCACTTACTTTCCCAGTTGAATGAAAGCATAATGGAGGGATTGAAAATTCCCAAATCTTAACCATTTACATCTAATTCTCGTTGTCATGTGGTGAAGTTACTAATTTGTCGTGAATATACCTGAAAAGCAGAGCGGATCAACTCCTCTACATAATCAATGGTAGCACCTTTCACAAAGTCGTATGAAATATTATCAACCACCAATTTAACACCATCCCGCTCGAATATTCTGTAAATGCCAGAGAACAATAGATAAAGTTCTTAGGATTCATCATCTAATATAATCAAAAATTGTTTTACATGCATGAATTTGTTGCAGAGCAACAATATAACTACTAATATCCTAAGTAAAAAGTGAATATAACCTGTCATCGTCATTGGCCTTATCATCAAGTAAGAAGTTATACTGGAACCCAGAGCATCCGCCAGATTCAATGCTCAAGCGCAGTAACTTTCTATTAGCCTCACTGGCTTGCAACTCTTTCATCCTCTGTAAAATATAGATAAAATCATGGACTCATATCGTTATATGACTAATATAAAAAAATTTTAGTATTACAAGTATGCAATTGTGGACTTTGCAAAGATCATCACTGCAACAAATTGCAAACAATACCAGATGTGTGTGTGTTTGTGAGAAAGCCTGAATGTGAAAGAGGGAAATTGAACCCAACACTGCACTTGCTCCATTCCTTTTTGTTCAGAAGCCAAGAAATATTACTATCAAAGCACTTCTTAGAATCAGGCTAAATAGAACTAATTTCTTTTTCTTTTTGATAATCATTTCACTTATAAATACTGATGTACATGCACATATGCACATTTTTTCTACTCTTGCACTTCTGCAGACAATCACATCAGTCACAACTTTCCCTTTCAATCAATTAACTCAACTCTCAATGCGCTGTAGCAAAGCCAGAATCTAAGTCAATAGGGGCATGATTTAACCAAAATATAATTTCTGAAAAGATTATTTCGAATCATTACAATAGTCACTACGAGTCTGATATAAAATGTAGAAAGCTAAATACTATTTGGAGCAATTTGAAAAAATCAAGCAATCAGAAAATACCAAAATAATGGATACATCTAAAGCTATTTTTTAAAAGTTGCAGGCTGAGTCTGCCTGGAGTAGATTATAAAAGAGTTGGAAGTTGTATTTAAAAGTCGAAGTCGTCATTTTCCAATTCTTTCATCTGTTGAATAGGTAGAAAATAATTTAGGGTTTGTTTGGGTAAAATTATAATGAGTAATGGATCCTGCTAAATGTGCGGATAATAAGTGGATAGCAATTGTGAATGTGTGGTTAAAATTAATGTAACATTAATGTCTTTCGCTTCAAATTTTAACGAACTAATAATTTTACCCAAACAAGCATTTACTTCATCTAAGCCAATTTTAATTTCTACCGCCATACAATATTTTGAAGATATTTTAAAAGCAAAACTTCAATTCTGCTCCCTCACAACATCTGCAATACATAAAATGGAAGAAAGGAAAAAAACCAATTTCACTCTCTGTTGGTTAACCATCTTTCAGCAACTACGGCTTCAATAAGCAAAAAAATTGGCTTCTATAATAAAATTTCCAATGCCCCAAACCCTAGTCCCAGCAATCTCAAGAAATGAAGAATAAAGCCCTTGTTTGAGCCCCATTTTCCCAAAACTCATTCAACATACATTTTCTCAATGAAATAATTTATCACTTGAAACCAAAACTTTTCCCTACTTTTTAACCACATGTTCTCCAAAATATCACAATTCCAAAATCTATTAACCCAAAAAAATGATTCTAAATGACACAGTATCGCCAAGGGAAAATAATATACAGCTTATGAAAGCATAAAGACTACAAAATCCTAGTGAAACACGCCTTTGGCAACCTACTGAAGCAGCACAGATAAGCAAAACAAAACGATAATTTTCACCCCCAAAAATCAACAATATCAACAAATCTATGACACCAAATATCAACAATAATTAGCCAAAAAAGAAAAAATAAAACTCCACGAATCAAAACTACAAAGCTTCGAAATACATCAAGAAGAAATTAGGTGAAGATAGGGAGAGTACCCGAACGCAACTGTCGGTCAAATGAACGGCATCGAGAGATGGAGAATCCGATGAGGAAGAGGATGGTTGAGGTTCGTGGAGGGCGGAGGACGATGCCGGCGCAGAGCTGAGAAGCCGGTAGTTCTGTCGAATCCGGGCTGAGAAGTACGGCGTAATCCGACGAAACAACGACTGAGACGAAGTCGTCATGGCTTCTTCTTCAAACGAACGTAATTGTCTATCCTTTTATGAATCAAAAGGATTGATACGAAAAATTGCGATTGTTTTGAAGAAAATTTCAGTTTTGATTTTTTCTTCAAACGA